CCGCGACAGGACAGCATGGGCCGAGAGCTAATCCTCGGCGCGATGGGCGGCCAGGTCAGCTGCGACCACGCCGCGGTCAAGTTCAGCGACGAGAAGCTGAAGAAGGCCGTCCCGAGATCACAGCATAGCTCACTCGTGCAGATACAATGTGATGACTCTTGTGACTGTGTCGCGAGGTCACACGGAGTCGGAAAGCGGATATTCACGCGGGCATCCATGTGCGACATTGGCGAGTAGAGCACTCAAGTGAGCGGGCTTGCTCGGATTATGTCCGGGCAGCTCGCGGTTGCTTTAGCACGTGCTCTTTTGCAATCTCACATTTTCTTCAGGTGGGGGGATATGTATCCTGCTTCGGCTATCCCCACGGGCGCCGGCGGAAGTACTTTCATCCTGTCCACTGGCGTCGTAAAGTGTTTTTCCCTACCTAGGCTCTGCCTAGAGGGTTCTTACTCTCTTAGCTTAAAGGGGCCGGGCAGTGCACCACGCCCCGGGCGGTTCCCCCAGTCCCCGCCCCGCGGTTCCCCCAGTCCCCTGGGAGCTTTAGCTGTAGCTTTAGCTTTAGCTTAGCTTTAGCTCAGCTTTAGCTTAGCTTTAGCTTAGCTTTAGCTTAGCTTTAGCTTAGCTTTAGCTTAGCTTCAGCTTAGCTTTAGCTTAGCTTTAGCTTAGCTTCAGCTTAGCTCCAGCTTAGCTTTAGCTTAGCTTTAGCTTAGCTTCAGCTTAGCTTTAGCTTAGCTTCAGCTTAGCTTCAGCTTAGCTTCAGCTTAGCTTTAGCTTAGCTTTGGCTTAGCTTTAGCTTAGCTTTAGCTTAGCTTTAGCTTAGCTTTAGCTTAGCTTTAGCTTAGCTTTAGCTTAGCTTTAGCTTAGCTTCAGCTTAGCTGTAGCTTAGCTGTAGCTTAGCTTTAGCTTAGCTTCAGCTTAGCTCCGGCTTAGCTTTAGCTTAGCTTCAGCTTAGCTTTAGCTTAGCTTTAGCTTAGCTTTAGCCTATCCTTAGCTTAGCTTTAGCTTAGCTGTAGCTCAGCTTTAGCTTAGCTTCAGCTTAGCTTTAGCTTAGTTTTATCTTAGCTTTAGCTTAACTTTAGCTTCAGCTTAGCTTCAGCTTAACTTTAGCTTAGATTTAGCTTAGCTTTAACTTAGCTTTAGCATAGCTTTAGCTTAGCTTTAGCTCAGCTTTAGCTTAGCTGTGCCTTAGCTTTAGCTTAGCTTAAGCTTAACTTCAGCTTAGCTTCAGCTTAGCTTCAGCTTAGCTTCAGCTTAGCTTTAGCTTAGCTTTAGCTTAGCTTTCGCTTAACTTTAGCTTAGCTTCAGCTTATATTTAGTTTAGCTTTAGCTTAGCTTTAGCTTAGCTTTAGCTTAACTGTAGCTCAGCTTTAGCTCAGCTTTAGCTGAGTTTCAGCTTAGCTTCAGCTTAGCTTTAGCGTAGCTTTAGCTTAGCTTTGTCTTAGCTTTAGCTTAGCTTTAGCTTAGCTTTAGCGTAGCTTTTGCGTAGCTTTAGCTTAGCTTAGCTTTAGCTTGGCTTTAGCTTAGCTTCACTGTTGCTACTAATTCTGCTTTCCTAGTGGCTCCAACTCCTAGGTAGGGTCGCACTGGGATAATTTCGGTTGGCGCCGTGGGAGGCCAATGTGCCTTTGTGATGGAGTGAAGGCCGCCAACCCAGGAACGCGCCGAAACCAGGTGAATCAGTCCTGTTGCGGCCAGGTAGTTTTTTTGGAGACCGGCTGTCATTAGAGCCCTTTCTGCGCTGTTTGTTTTATTGCACGAAGCGCGACGCAATCGCTTGAACATCATTCCTGAACGGCGCGTCCTCTTGCCTTGTCTGCTTCTTACACTGTCATTGCCAGTGCACGAGAGGCGGTAGTTCCTGTGGCTTTTCGGTTCAAGGTTGCAACTTCCGCGTTCTCTTCACGTTGTAAGACTCGCTCTACATTGCTTTACCTTCTTCTGCTGAGAACCATTCTCGCCTTTCTACGTCCACATGTCTGGTCTCCTCTGGAGCCTCTGGAGCCTCGGACAAGTCTATCCCTCAGCGAAAGATAGCCTGCATTCAGGAAAACTCAGTGCACGGGGAATGGCACTCCAACCTCCTTTTTGCTGGTTGGGCCCACTCCATTGCGGAGCGCGTGGCTAAATCTTTGACCTGTCGCCGCGCATATCTCCCACACAGAACAATAAAAGGATATCTGAACCCCCCAGGCGCCACATCCGATGAGACTCATGCACTTTCGCGAGGACTCGAAGGATTCCTGGGCAGACGTCCTGAACAACAACACTGCGCTTCTTTGCCGTGTTGCCGCCAATTCTACAACGCCACACACCACTCGTGATGTGCAAGAGATGTCCTCCTCCTCCTCCTGTTCCTCCTCCTCGTCCTCTGCGCCTGCTTCTCCTGCCTGCTTCCCCTCCTGGGAGTGGGGGGGGGGGCGGCGGCGGGCAAATTGCGAGGGGCGGGGGAGATCGGGGCGCCCTGCCGGCCAGGACCTGGGGAGCCATGCAGGACCCGCAGGTGCGGGCCCGCGAGCGCCCCGCCCCCCCATCCCTTCATATACCCTCGCACCTCTGTTTTTAGAGCGCAGTAGAAGGTATGGGAGGCCCCCGTGAGTTGCCACCGAATATGGGAAGGTCCCCAAACCCCCGACCAACGCGGGGATGAGCGTGTTGTCGCGCCTCTCTCGTGGGCTGCTCCCGCAGAGCGGAGTTCATTTCCCCGAGGCGGCCTGATCTTGCAAGTAGGTCCCTGTCCATGAGGGAGTGCCCATCAGGACGTGGTCAAAAAATCTCCTCGGCCTTCCCGTATGCGGTGCAAGAAAAGGGGGCCGGAGCGAGGGCGCCCTGAGAGTACAGTCGGGGCGCTAAACAAGGAACCCTTTTCGTTGGGGAGGGGCTCCGTGTTCCTTAAGTGGTTCACAGCTTGCCTCAGGTTGTCCTTATGTTTTCGACGGGAAATCGAAGCTTCACCCATGGAAAAAAGGGGCCTCGTTCCTTATTCAGGGTTCCTTAGGTCAAGCCCCCGACTGTACTTAAGAGAAGGATCCCAAGCTGAACCTTCACTGCGTGAGGCCCTTCGTCCATGATGCCCCAGCCCTCAGGGCCCCTCCTTGGAGTCGCCGATCCTGCTCGACGGGGCAGACATCTGCATGGACACAAGCAGTCGGAGGTCCGTGCGGCTCTCGCGGGTTGGCGCTGGGCCCCCCCCGCGCGCCAGGGGGGGCGGCGGGGGGCCCGCGCAGATCCAAGACGTCCGCGCGGAGCTCCGACCGTTTTTGGCGCCCATGTCGAGGGTTGTTCCTCCGCCTGCTCCTTGGGGCGGAGGGTTTACTGCGATACCGTTGATGCGTCCTGGATTTACGCTAGTCCTCCTCCCCTCCTTGTCTTCCTCCTCCTCCTCCTCCTCCTCCTCCTCCTCCTCCTCCTCCTCCTCCTCCCCTCTTCCTACTCCTCTTCCTCCTCCTTCCCCTCTTCTCCTCCTCCTCTCCTCCTCCTCCTCTTCCTCTTCATATTCCTCTTCGTTTTCCTGTTCCTCCTCCTCCTCGCCCTCTTCCTCCTCCTCCTCCTCCTCCTCCTCCTCCTCCTCCTCCTCATCATCATCATCATCATCATCATCATCATCATCATCATCATCATCATCATCATCATCATCATCATCATCGCCATCATCATTATTTTTATTATTAGCATAATCATCATCGTCGTCATCATCATCATCCTCATCATCATTTTCATCAGTATCATCTTCATCAACATCATCAGCATCAGCATCACCATCATCATCACCATCATCGCTGCTTCTCGTCCTCCTCGTTGCTCCTCCTCGCTGCTCCTCTTCACTGCTCCTCCTCCTCGCTCTTTATCCTCCTCCTCCTCCTCCTGCTCCTCCCCCGCCTCCTTCTCCTCCTCCTTCTCCTCCTCGTTCCTTCCCGTTTCTCCTCGTTCCTCCTCTTCCTCCTCATCCTCACCCTCATCCTCATCTGCCTCCTCCTCTTTCTCCTCTTCCTCCTCCTCCTCCTTGTCCTCCTCCTCCTCCTCTCCTCCTCCTCTCTCATCATCATCATCATCATCATCATCATCATCATCATCATCATCATCATCATCATCATCATCATCATCATCATCATCATCATCATCATCATCATCATCATCATCATCATCATCATCCCTTTCCCTCCTTCTCTTCCTCCTCGTCCTCATCCTCCTCCTCCTCCTCCTCCTCCTCTTCCCCCCTTCCTCCTCCTCTTCCTCCTCCTCTTCCTCCCTCTCCTCCTCGTCCACTTCGCTGCTCCTCTTCAGTGTTTCTCGCTGCCCTCTCCCCTCCATTGCTTCTACCTGGCGGGGAGGTTCCCCGCCGGGGGGGCGCCAGGATTCCAGGGCCACAGTTGCTGCAGGCGGGGACACCCCAGAGAAAAGAACTGCTTATTCACGACAAAGGGGGACCCAAGCACGACAAGGAAAGGCACATTCACGACAAGACAGAGACACATTCACGACAACCGCCGAAGGTGGGAGTCGGCTTTCGCCCCCCGCTTTCGCCTCCCGCTTTCGCCTCCCGCTTTCACCCCCCGCTTTCGCTTCACGCTTTCGCCCCTCGCTTTCGTTTCCCGCTTTCGCCCCCCGCTTTCGCGCCACACTTTCGCCCCCCACCTTCGCGTCGCGTTTTCGCCTCTTGCTTTCGCCTCCCGCTTTCGCTCCCGCTTTCGCCTCCCGCGTGCGTCTCCCGCTTTCGCCTCCCGCTTTCGCCCCCCGTTTTCGCCTCTCGCTTTCGCGTCCCGCTTTCGCCTCCCGCTTTCGACTCCCGCTTTCCGTTGCCATTTCGGCTCGGGCCGAAGTTGTGTGATGGCTGCGCGCAGTGACAGTGATCAGTGGGCCTGGTCCAAGCGCAGCGGGTGCGGGCGCACAGAGTATGACGCAGTGTTGGAGAAGAGGGGGGCGCCAGTGCACTTGCGGGCGCCTCGTCTCTACAAGCCCAAACACGACCAGCGGCAGTCCAAGCCCAACAACACCCTGGCGCAGCGGGGGAACAAGGAGTTTGACAAGTCATTCAGGCCAGCGGACACTCGCCTTGCTTGAGCAGCATGAGCGGCAACCTCCTCCTCAAGTTGCCGAAGGATGAGATAGACAAGACCAAGGCGAGCATGAAACCAGCGGTCACCCCAGATGAAGCCTTTCGTCATGCATTTGCGGCGTCGCGAGGTGCTTCCATAAAGCGCGACCAGGCATTCGACGCCGCGGTCAGGGCCGAGGAGAACCTGGGACGAGCTCCACAGCGGGGGCGCGAGGCAGCCCTCACGCTTGCCAAGGCGGAGGAGAGCAGGAGGCTCGCGGTGTAGGTCATGGCCCGCGAGATGGGCGGCGCAGGCGAGTCGTCGCCCTCGGCCCCTTCCTGCGCCTCGTCGGCCGACACCTTAGGTATGCTGTTCGGCGTCAAGATCGACGAGACGTTCATCCAGAACCTGGGGGGCCTCGAGCGCGAGGAAGGCGAGCGAGAGGCCCTCCGCGCGCTCGAGAAGCAGCTCCAGGAGGCCAAGTCGCTCTTCGAGGGCAAGCACAGCGAGGTGCAGGCGTGGCAGGGGCAGCTCGCGGCCAAGCAGGCGGCCACCCGCGGGCGGATGGCCAAGAAGGGGCGCGCCGCGGGCGGGGCGCCAGCGGCCGCGGCCGAGGCCCCGCGCGCGGCCCAGCTGGCAGCCGCCGCGGGCACGGGCTGGCAGCCAGCAGCAGGCGCCGCCGCGGAGGCTGACGAGGCCGCGGCCCAGCGGCTGCGGGAGGCCGCGGACAGGCTCAGCGCAGCCGAGCTCGCCGCGGCGGAGGAGGCGAAGCGCGCTGCGAAGCCGTCAGGGGCGTCAAGCCCTGGCGGGTCGCAGGCGTGGTCTACGTGGCCGTCGGCAGGACCTCCGACGCCGAGTCCGTTGACTGGTGCCAGAAGTGCCGCGGCGGCGGCGAGCCTCGGGCAGCGCCGGTGCGGGGGGCCCGCAGACGCGGACATCGATTCGGACAATGTCATGCTCTCATTCTCTCTTGCTAACGTTGCGTGCATCGGAGCGCAGGCGTGGGCCGCATGGTCTCTGATCAACATGCAGCGTTCAACTGCGCTGGTCTCGTGGAGACCCATTCAGCACCAGGCGCCACTCAAGAATAGGACTTCAAAGTTCGTTCGCATCATCTACGTCTTCGTGCCAATCCAGCGCGTCTCTCCGAGTCGCAGCCCATCTCCGAGGCCCCGCGCGAGCGGGCCAACGAGGTTGGCGAATGGCTCTTGGCGGAGGGGCATCGCGGCGCACGCAGTCTTGCCAGCTCGAGGGAGCTTCGCGCGGGCGGTTCTACATCTAGACGGATTCCAGGCCTCAGTCATCGACGTGACAGGCGTCGGTTCTGCCCCCGTCTGCTCCCGCGGCTTCTCGGGAGAGGGCTGGCCAGGCAGGAATATCCGACGGCGCCGTCGCCCGGGCGCGCTGTCGGCGAGTATGCAGTTGCCTTGGATGGTCTTCGCCGATCAGAATTTGCCTGCAGCGTCGGTCAAGTCCTGGGGCTTCGTCGATCGCGTCAGGGCCATGTCCTCGCGGCTTGCAGCGTCGCCGCGACGCGCGCGGCCGGCGCCAGGGGATATGGGGCGATTTGCGCCATCATGAGTTGTTCTTCTTTCGTTCCTCGCGCTGTCCGTTTGGAGGCAGTAGCGGGCGCGCCCCGGAAAACACGCCGTGGGCTTTATGTGTTGTTTTCGGGGCTCGGGGTCTTTGATTTTGGCTGCCGAGCCCCCCTGGCCCCATCGGCCGCCCCCCCCCCCCCCCCTCCCCCCCGGGTCCAAATCCCCAGCGCCAAGGCCAAGAGGGCCGAAGAGCAAGCAGCAGCAAGGCAGCGCACCGCTCTCGAATGCGACGCGCTTCTGGGCGGCGCTCTCGCCAGACCCCCCGACCAGCTTGGCTCGGAGGGAAAAACTGATCCATTATGTTTCGAATTTGGTTTCGAGGGCGAAGAGGGGCCCCCTGGGCCCAGGGGCCTAACTTCGGGGCCCGCGACGGGCCCTCGAGCTCGCAAGTCTCTTCGGGCGCCCGAGGTCTCGGAGGCCGCGCCGGAGCCGGCGTCGCGAGCCCCGGGGCCTCCTCGCCCCCCCCCCCCCCGTCGTCGGCCCGACCGAAGAGGGGCAGCGTCGCGTTGTTGGTGGCGTAGCAGATAGCAGCGCCAGAACAGCTCCAACGTCCCACGGGAGTCTGACCAGAGGTTAGCTCTCGACCCTTCGGCCCCCGATTCGTGCGCGGCTGCGTGCGCCGCTGCTCCTGCTCTTCCTGCGTTCCGTCCTCATCCTGGCTCGGACATCGTTCAGGCGTGGGCTGTGTTTCGACGCATTGCCAGCGGGGCGTGATATCCAGAGCCCTTCGAAGTTGGCGCCTGCCATGCAGACGCCGTCAGTGGATGATGCGGCTCGTGGGTTTCGACGCTGGAGCGCCCGATCTTGACGCGTCGCGGCGTAGACGTCAGCGGCCGCGCGTCAGCAGGAGCTCAAGTTCAGAGTTTCAG